CTCTCTCTCTCTCTCTCTCTCTCTCTCTCTCTCTCTCTCTCTCTCTCTCTCTCTCTCTCTCTCTCTCTTTCTCTCTCCGATGCGGACAGTCCGTCGTCATGCATCAACCCACGAAGTCGTCACACCGCTTAGTCCTCCCGCACCCGTCGGATTCGCCCGTGACCACAGTCTATCGTGGCCCACGTCAATCCCGCGCGTTTGGCACCAGCCCGTCGGGTCGCCCAACTCCTACTCTACTCACCTCTTACTTCGCTTGTGTGCCGACCCTTCCTGATCACGCAACCCCGAGCTTCCAACAACGGGTTAAGAGAGCTGACTAATCGCACAACCGAAATTTATAGTGTGCATGCATGCGCGAAGAACACGGAATTACTAGGACTTAGAGTGAGGATTAGAGAGGGAGCGCCTGCGTTCTGCATGATCGGCCGCGGCGTGGGGGACGCAACCCTTCTCCACGCATCAATCCGAGCATGCAGGCCGCGGCCTACGAAAATTTCAACAAAAGAAAGAGAGGGAGGGCGGAAAAGATGAAGTGCAAGAAGAAGGATACGGTTACAATGACGCCCGCTAGAGATTACAGTTACACACACGATTAAGGGCGCCTAGTACCGTTGCAGCCGCATGAAGAAGCGCGTAAACAAAAGGCGTCGCGCGGCAGGAAAAATCCTAATTACTAAATTCCTAAATTCCTATCTAATGCGAAAAAACAAAAAAAAGCACGAATTCAGAAGGAAAGTACGAAATTCCGAGAGCCATCGGGGGCTTAACAAAATTCGAAAAGGATTCAAAAGGAAATTCAAAAAGAACAAAGCAATTTCCAACGCGATGTATGCGCCCAAAGATCAAAACCGAACCAAAAGAGACGATGTCACCATTTATTAATTGCACGCGCGCGTGGCATCGCGCCAGACAACCATCTGACCAATCACTTAACCGGCCGTCCCAAGACACACCTGGCCCCGAACCCAGTCATCCGCCATGAAGCGACGAAAAAGGACGAAAAAGCGAGGACACTGATGCAATTCTCCACCGATCCCGTTTTACCGTAATTGGCCCAATCTTCCCAGCTTAGGACCCATCATTGCAACCGCGCAGAAAATCGGGAGTTACAGAAAGTGGTTTGTCACATACGTGACGCCCAGGGGGTTCCAATATTAGCAAGTTCCTGCTTGCTTGTTGACACGTGTCGATTTCTCTGATGGATCGACACGTGGAGCAATTCTCTGTATGCCACTTACCGTTCCATTGCGTGTGGACGTCATCCAACGTGGCGACTCTGCTCTTCTACTAGTTCCTCAGATTGGGCTCTTCGATGATCCAAGGACGGGACCTTTCTCGTGCCGTCACCGCGACACGCGTCCATTACTGCTGCATCAGTAATTAACTGGAAGGGGGAAGGGGAGTCGGTGCATGGCAGCATGGCGGGGTGGAGGGGTTATGGGTAATGGGGGCAGGAGACTTTCCATTCCGGCTACTGTCTCCGGGAGTTATTGGTAACGAACAATGCGGTGAAAGCGGGGGAAGCGATTGCCGGTGCGAGGGAGGGACGCGAGATAATCGGGATAGAGGGTAGTGAGGGTCCTCAAGAGTGCCGCGCAGAAACGATCACGATCATCGCATGCGGGGATGGTTCCTGTTACCACGCAGTAAACCTCGATCATGTTATGGCCTCGCCACGCGGTACTAAGGAACAGGACATGGAGGCAGAAGGCTGGGACGGTGCATCGAACGGAGGGGTGGGGGTGCACCACTATAGCGAGGCGAGCAGCGTAGAAGTGGCGGAAGGTGTCACGGGGAAACGGATTGGTCGGGAACGTGATGGGGGTGGTGAGCTGGCGGAGGGTGAGGTAGTCAAGGGGACGGCGAGAGAGTGATCGGGGACAAAGACCGATCGCCCGTATCGGTACGTCGACGAACTGGGGGCCGAGTTGAGGAGGAGGGGGATCGGCTCCGTCGCCGCACTGATGGGGTCAGAGTCGTGGCCACGAGGTCGCCATCTTCGGGCCGGGGCGGCTCCGGATCTCGGCTCGGGTCGTCGAGGGTGAGCAGACTCGCCGCGCTTGCGAATACCAACTCCTTCTTCCCGACCACGATCTCTTCTCTTTTGCTGGCCGCCTCGGGATCCTCAACCTCCGTACCTGTACGCAGCGCTTCTTCTGGCACGGGTTCCCACTCTGATCCAGTCGGCTCTTCGTCGTGCTCCTCTTCTCCTTCTTCTTCTTCGCTCTCTTCTTCTTCTTCGCTCTGTTCCCCCTCGCTATACTCGCTATAGCTTCCTTCTTCGGGGGTTTCGTCTTTTTCCCCGAGTTCTTCGTCACTGTTCCCGCCTTCTTCCTGTCCGTCATCGCCTTCGTCACTCCCGGTACTCTCTTCCTCTTCTTCCTCTTTTCGAATGGCCGCAAGCCGCTCCGCCGTAGGGTGTCTGAAGAAGGCAGGATCGCGAGCCGTCCGGGGATCCAGGTATTGTTGCTGTGATGGTGGGATGCGCTCTGTGGCCCCCTCTACACAAGCTGACCACTGAAGATAAGGCGTCCGTGTGCGAGAAAGCACGTGGGGAACTGGATGCTTGTCGTCTTGCGAGATAATGTTGAGAAGGAGATCGTCCGCCAGCTGTGCTACCCGGATCCTGAGCTCTTTCGTGATGAGGTCCTGATGACCGGGTCGCACCGTACCAAATAGAAACGCGAGAAGCTCTCCCTCCACGTTGGTTCGCCAGGCCTGGATGAACAGCAACTCCAAGCGCTCTATGCAAGGCGGGTGTGCTTCGTCCTCGGTCCACGTCAGCCGTACTTCCACTAGACACAGCGAAAGCTCAATGAAGTCTTCACGCCACAGGACCCAATGAGGAGGATGGATATCGGGGACAGCGAGGGGCTTTAGACAGTAGGAGAGGAAAGGATGGATATCTGACTGCTAGAAGGTGGGGAAGGGGGAGGGAAGATAAAAAATGGAGATCGGAGAGAGACTCATTGGGGATGTGGGAAGGGGACGAGGATAGGGATGTTTGCTGGCGGCTCGCGCTGATACATCCGAAGACCGTCCTATTCGATCGCCCGTGTCGTTGCGACTGTATCTCCGGGACGAGCCAGAAGCTGGGTCCACTTTGCGACCCAGTCGTTTGCCCACACGCGCAGCGACGCCTTCACCGCCGAATGCCGCAAGGGAAGAAGTGTAGAGAGATCACCACTGAAGTTGACGACGACCGATATGCGGCTGACACCTGGCACCGCCCGCTGATGAACGGTTACCGCCTCGGCCAGTACCACCGCGTCAGGACAACCTTCAATCCTGAATACCGCTGCTGCATACACGCCTTCCGTGCAGAAGAAGTGCGCAAGCCTCCGAAGGTCTGGGCTGAGGCGGGGATGGTGGACTTGCCAGATCGTCAATCGATCGCGGGGAGCAAGCGATGCTGCGCTAAGGGCTCTTTCCTCCAGAAAACTCATGGCGATGGCGAAGGTGACGGGAAGGCAGATGGGGAGCAAGATGAAGAGGGAGATGGCGGAGAGTTAGAGTCGTCGTTTTTGACTTCCTCAAAGAGAGAGATCGAGGGAGAAGGAGACGGAGCAGAGGGGAGGAGGCGAAGATAGGACACGTGGCGTGTGATCGGACGAGCCGATCGACTGCCGGAGACTTCCGGGGCGAGAAGCACGGTGTCCACGCCGTTGGGGCCGAGCTCGATCACGCGATATCGCCTGAAGAATCGTGGCACTAGCTTCCCCTGGCGAGCACATTTCCTCACCTGCACCACGTCCCCCAATTTGTACTGGGGCCGCGAACCCGCATTCCCATTTCGGGCCTCGTAGCTTCGGACCTGTCGGCCCTGAGCTAATTCGGTCATTTTCTTTCGCTTTCGGGCTAGCCTAGGCAGCGACCGTTCCATTAACTCTAGGTGCCGTTTGGCCTTGTCCCGATTCGTGGCCCTGGTCGGCCGTCGGTTCAATGTAGTCTCATCCGGGAGGCTTGGTATCGAAACGCAAGCGACGCTATTGGTCCTTAATTGGAAGGGGCTCCGCCCCGTCGATTCGTGGGGTGTTCCGCGATGGACCGCCAGGATGTGATCGACGATATCGGGCCAGGGTCTCGGATCCCATGCCGTGATGTTTCGTTGCAGCTCTGTCTTTATCACCCGGTTAGCCTTTTCGACCAGCCCATTAGATTACGACATGTGGGGTGCCGTATTCCGTATGGCGACGCCATGTAGGACCAGATTCTTTAACACTTCTCCCCTGAATTCAGCCCCATTGTCGGTCAGGATTTCTTCGGTATCCTGATGCATCCCGAGGAAACGGTTGACATATCGCGCGATTTTCGTGACTTGCCGCGTGCGACAAGGATACGCTTCGATCCATTTCGAGAAATGGTCGACAAATACCAGTAGGACTGAATACTCGCAACTATTAGGGCCAGGGGGCACCACAATGTCGGTAGTGTCCATTCTTACTCTCTGAAATGGTCGTTCAACAACCATGGGCACTGTCGACCTTGGCCGCTGGATCGGCGCCTTATCTGCGGCGCAGACTTGACAGTTGGCGACGATGTATTTCACATCGTCGCGGATATTGGACCAGTACCACTCATTTTTGTCGATAGCGGACTCCGTGATTCGTACGACAAAATGAGCCGCTGTTTCTTCGTGCGCCGTCTTAGCCCAGTCATACCGCATGAATGGATGCGTCACCACCATCCAAATCCCACTGCCGTCCTTTTTCCGTTTTTCTAATCTGCCCTCTATCCATCGATAATCCCGAGCCCTTTCGTTGGCCCTCCTCCGATCTTCCTTGGTGAAATCCTGGAGGGGGTTACCTACTAGGGTGGCAATTAAGGCAATATCCGTCCATACTTCGGCCCTTCTTAACTTCCGGGTCTTTTCCAATCCTTCTGACGTGGCATCCAAAAAACGAGTTTCGGTCGGAATCTTGTCAGTCCGGCACAAGGAGCACAACCACGGTTTACTATCGTTTCTGTATTGGATGCACGAGCCATGGGCTCGTGCGACGCACTGTCGACAATCTATCCAATCGACATACTCCTCTCCGTTAGGACGTATGGAGACCGAATAAACGCGAGAGATGGCTTCGCAAAAATAGCAAAATTTGTCAGGCAGGGAGAGGAGAGACGAAGAGGAAGGGGGAGAGAGAGGGGTAGTGGGGTTACCTTTATCACCCATTGCCACCGTTTTGCTTCTTGCCACGTGGGAGAACTGCCACTTGTCCGTACTTCGGCTCGTTAGTCAGACCCGTCTCCTTCCACGGTGTAATTTCCTCATCCTTTGGTACCTTGTCAGATCGATGCAGACGTGTCAGCCCGTCCGCGTTGCCGTGCCACTCTGTCTTTCGATGGACGATATCGAAGTTGTATTCTTGTAGCCGCACCGCCCAACGACCAATCATGCCTGTGTAGTTGGTGAGTTTCTTCAGCGCCAGCAGAGGCTCATGATCCGTTACAAGGCGAAACTTCTGTCCGTAGAGATACGGATGGAAGTGTTGGATTCCCCAAACTACCACATAACACTCACCCTGAGGTGCGGAGTCGTTTTTCCGTTCGTCCGGTACGGTTCGTGACGTGTACTCGATGACGTGTTCGCGACCATCGTTCCCCTTCTGCGCTAAAATAGCGAAAATAGCTTCCGGCTGCCAGTCCGTGATGAGAATGAACTGCTTCGAGGGGTCAGGTCGAATCAAAATAGGGGTTGTTGCCAGAGCGTCCTTGAGGGTTGCAAAGGCCTGTTGACACTCCGCGTCCCAGCCAAGAGGCTGGTCCTTTCGTAACAGGTTCGTTAGTGGTCGTGCAATCGCGGCAAAACCCCTAATGAAACACCGGTAGTACGATGCTAGTCCCAAGAAGGCTAGAACCTGCGTTAGTGACGTAGGAACCGGAGCTTCCTTCACCGCCCCGACTTTTCTCGAATCTCGCCGCAATCCTCCACGTGTCACGACATAGCCCAAGAACGAGACTTCCGAGAGGAAAAATTCGCTCTTTTCAAGCGCAATCTTGAACCCAGCGTCTCTCAATGCACCCAATGTCCATTCGATGTGTTGCGCGTGTCCGTGATAGGTTCCTGAATAGACCAGGATGTCGTCCATGTAAACGATCACGAAGAAGTTAATCATTCCTTGCGTCAGCCGTGTCTTGTTGACGAAGTTCTGGAACGTCATGTTCATCGCCCGCTGAAATGTGGCAGACGCATTGCAAATCCCCATCGGACATCGAATCCACTGCCACGTACCCTCAAATAGTACGAAGGCCGTTTTCGGCCGATCTTCTTCCCTTACTAGGATATGATGGAAGCCATGCCGAATATCAAACTTGCTCAAATATTTAGCGCACCCAATCGCATCCAACATATCATCAATCCGGGGGAGGGGATGTACGTCTTTAATCGTGATTTCATTCAGCTTGCGGTAATCAATGCAGATGCGAATCGCTCCGTTCCTCTTTTGTACTAACACTACGGGAAAGGACCAAGGTCCGGTAGCGGGTTCAATCCAGCCGCTTGCTTCGAACTCCCGAATTCGTTCGAGAGCCTTTTTGCGTTCAATCTTGGAATAGCGATAAGGTTTGCAATGAATCGGGGTGTGATTTCCTGTCTGAATCTCGTGTTGGATTACTAATGACAGCCCGATGTCAGTGTCTGATACGCTAATCGCTCCTTCATATTCCGTTAGAATATCCGCAATTACCCAGTGGATTTCATCCGGCACATATTGTGGAACATGCAGTTCAAAAAGCTGATCCCAAATCCGAACGTCAATTTGTTTCGTGTTCGCCTGTTTTGTCAAGTCGGGTGGAGGCGCAGAGATAAATGGATCGCCAGGAGAAAACCGTGGCCATCATCTGAGGATCTTCTTCTCGGATTGCCACGTGTCCTTCCGGGGTAATCCCGTCACAAACATCCTGCCATGGCACTTCCTTAGTTGCGATTTTTATCCCCAGTCCGTCTGTTTCCGCTTCAAAACGCCCAGGGCGTTCCAGAGAGCTTGCTTCCGCCCCCAAGCGTAACAATCTCACTTCTTTAGCCGAGATTAGTAAGGACTTGGGTAGATCCGTAATGTCACTGTAATGCTTCTTGTCGCTGTACCGGGCGAGGAGGGGGGTGGTTCCTTCGTACAGGGTTTGAGGGGGTTCCAAGGAATCGACCATCCTCGAAATCTGCACGAGGGGCTCACCCAAGATCATTGCCTTGGTTCTTTGAATTTTTCGGCTGGTCAGTTGCATCGTTCTCGCTATTGTTTTGGGGGGCGGGTAGTAAATGAGCTGTCGCGCTAATTTCAAGATCTCCGGGTCATCTTCGTCACTGCTGTCCGCATCATTTGATGATTTTCCTTCCACGGATTCATCCGAGGAGATCATGCGGAGAGTCCCTGCTATCATCGGCGAGACCGGTGGAACCGCATTAATAGTAGTGTGAAGGGTCAATCGCATGGGCACAGCATAGGGTTTTCCACCGGTATTTCGGAGGACGATCGATCGTTGTTCGAAGTCCAGGTTTTCTCGTAACGCCACAAGAGCGGCGGGTTCGAAAAGAACGTCGTATGTATTGACATCTAGTACTACGACATCCCCATTGGTCATTCTTCCCACAGTTTTAATCCTTTCTTCGTCCGCCGAAACGAGCTGTTTTGAGAAGGCGGACGGCACAGGCGCACAAGGAGACAGGTGCACGGGGAGGAGAGACGCACGGAGGCGCACACAAAAAGACGAGGAACAGGACTCGCGGACAGGAACGCGAGGTGTGGGACCGCGCACATTCCCCGCGCACGAGGCACATGCGCGCACGCACTGTGCATGACAGCGCCCGCTTCCGCGGACATCACCCGCGCGCGAGGCACACGTGCGCACGCACTGTGCGTGACAGCGTGCGCTTCCGCGGACATCCCCCGCGCGCGAGGCACACGCACGCATGCACTGTGCGTGACAGCGCGCGCTTCCGCGGACATCCCCCGCGCACGAGGCACACGCGCGTAGGCACTGTGCGTGACTGCGCGCACTCCCGCGGACATTCCCCGCACACGAGGCACACACGCGCACGCACTTTGCGTGACTGCGCGCACTTCCGCGGACATCTCCCACGCACAAGCGCACATGCGCGCACACACTGCGCGTGACTGGGCGAACCACGCGCGCACCCTTGCGTGCATTCTCACACACTCGCGCGCCACGCGAGCACCCCTTTGCGTGCGTTCTCGTACACTCGCGCACTGTGTGCGTATCTTCGCGGGCGTTCGCTCGCACTCGGGCACCATGCGCGTATCCTCGCACACAGTCGCGCATACTTGCGCACCAAGAGCGCACACTTGCGCATTATCGCGCGTACGGGGAGTCGCCCGCAGGAAGATCCGCGCAGTGCCGCAGACACAGGAGAGCCGCCACGGGGAGACTGCACACTAGCGCGCTGTGGGACGAGACGGCGAGGAGGTAGCCGCACCGGATAGCGCGCGTATGCGTTGGAGATGACAGATAAGGCTCGCGCGCGACACCACTCATCGCACACCTGGTCGGGACGACTAGCGAAGGGCAGACGTGTCGGGCTTCCCGCAAGGCGGCTGCTTTGGGATGTGTGACGAGTCACTGTGTCTGACGGGTCCTTCAGTGGGAGCTCTGACGGTCGGACTGAGCGGGTCATTGGGCGAGGAACAGATCTCTGGGACGAACAGGACTTGAGGGCACCAGGTCGGGACAATGAACATAACGGGACTTTCAGGCGCAGTACGGGCGCTGAGCAGGAGAACTATCTGGTGCAGTCAGGATACGGGGAAGTAGTTGGGACGCTGTGAACGAGGGCTAACAAGCGCTGCCGGGCATTGAGCGAGGGGGGGGATCCCTTGTTCGTGTAATTAGACCATTGGGCTGTCGGATCATCGAGTGGACTCCACTTCATGTGTCCTGGGCGAGCCCTTCTAGAGTGAGGCAGGGTATCAGTCTGAGCGGGCTCTGGACACTATCCGATCGGAGGAGCATCCTGTCGAAGGGTATTTTACCGAAGGGGTGTTTTATGAAGGGGTGTTTTATCGGGGACACCACACTGAACAGGCACCTTTTGAAGGGGCACATTACCGAAGAGATACCTTACCGGACGGGTACTTTTACGAGATGGTACTTCGGCGTGCGAGGCCTTTACTGGGCGGGGAGCATTACCGGACAGACACCGTTCTTGGGTGGGTACTTTATCGAGCGGATATGTTTACCGAGAGGATACATTTTACCGAGCGGGTACCTCGCCGTGCGAAGACTTTACCATGCGGGTACTTTACCGGGTGGGTACTTCACCGAGCGGACATTTGTTTTTTTTTTTTTTTTATCGAAGGGACACTATTCCGAAGAGGTACTTTTTGTGAAGCGGGCTTTTCGAGGAGGTATTTTCGTGAAGTGGGCTTTCCGAAGGGGAACGTCTGAACGGGCTTCTCAAAGGGGTACTTTCGTGAAGTGGGCCTTCCGAAGGGGTACGTCCGAAGAGGGCTTCTCGAGCGGGTACTTTCGTGAAGCAGACTATCCGAGGGGGCACACCCGAACCATGGTCACGGTGGATCTGGAGCTTTGGCCCCGATGGGCGAGGGAGGCTACTTCCGACACTGAGAGTTCGAGCACTGTTCCTTGGGATCGACATGCATGGTACAGGCGACACCCAATCGGGAGGAGGATAAGGCAACGTCTGTTGACTAGGTTTGTGGGAACTCAGACGGACTTTCCAGACACAGTGCCGAGATGTACGGCCGAGGCCGGAACTAGTGTTTCACACCCCATTGTTTTGGATTGAATGCAACGACTTCTTTTATTTCTTCTAGACTGTGTTTCATGAGTTTCGTCTCGCGTTGGTCACGGTCTGCTACGGTCCTTGTTTTCGTGGATGTGGACTGACATGTTTTGTGCAGGTTACAGGAGCCCCGACCGACCCTCCCGCGGGTGACAGACGCGGCGCGAGGCATAAGGGTTCAGACGGCGTGCCGGCAGACCCCTTCTACCGGTCGACATTGGCGCCGTTGCTGGGGAAGGCTGCCTCTCGGGACTTCGGTCCGCCTGTAACCGCGGGGATGTGAGAGGATCAGGACAAGGATGTGACTGGGACAGGGCAGACGGGGGAGGCTGAACAGTTGGCCAGTGGTCTGAATGCCCGAGTGAGACGTTGGACAGTACGGGCACGAGCGGGCAGACGACACCCCCATCGACCTATGATCGACGTTCACCGGTGAGATTGTGATTTCTGCATTTCGTGGTTTCGCTGATTCCTGCTTACTTCTCGCCTTTCATGTTTTTCATTCCTGTTGCCTTCCTTGTGATCAAGGGACGTCGTTCTGATTTTCCCTACCCTTTGGTCAGTCCACCTAGATACTGAATCTAAGAGAGAGAATCGTGAGCAGAGAACGACTTGAAGGGACTGAAGGGGAGGGGAGAAGCACCCCGGATTTGCAAGGAATTGGGCAGGGACTTGAGAGGCTAGTCGATTCTGATGGATAGCAGGGGGGATTGATTCACAGCACGAGTCGGGATGTGAGACCTTGCCTGAGGTGGGCCGAGTAAAGGCATTGATAGGAGTGAGGATGCACGAGTGAGACACCGCCTCCCTATTTCGCGTGTGACTTCCGTCCACCCTAGAGCACATGAGTTGGCCGGCTTGTGCTCAGGTCGCGACAGGGAAGGTAGGCCAGCGACAATGGCACATTGATCCGAACTCCTTCTTGACACGAGGGTAGGGAGAGACACGCCAGAGGGCGGTTTTCTTCTAGGCCTGTTGATGTCTTGAAGGGATACAGGGGTGATCAGAGGAGGCCTGTCGGGGGGGTCTGTGAGCTCAACAGTCTGAGAGTGGCACAGGGAGTGACATACTGAGAGAGAACCGTTTTTTATTTTGCTTAGGAATGGTTTACATCGAATCGGAGTCTCAAGTACATCTCGTTGAACAGAGCGGCTTCTGTGACGTCATTAGTCTTCCTTTGGAAGGATCGAGCAAGTATAGGCCGTCTGAACAGCGTGGTCTCGTCATACGCGAGGGCGTCTTCCTGTGGGTGAGAATTGAGGCGGAGCCTAGAGTATGTGTTAGAAGGGACGGGGCTAGCGAACCTCTTCGCGCAGAAGTGAACGTTAGACTATATCTCTCAGAGGAGGAGTGGAGGTATCTAGTAATAGAGACTGCCCGTCGTTGTCAGACTCTCTTATGCTTGACACCATTACCACGTAGATTTGGTGCGAGAGTGTTCAGTGAGTTTGTGGAGAGGAGCGGAGCCGACTCGGTAGCCTTCTATACGGTGCGTTTTGCATACGACTGGGAGCTCCCTAGAGCTACGTCTGTCAGAGCGGTTATCATTCCTAGATTCCTCACAGGACTAGTCTTTGGCGATGAGGATAGATATCTGAGGCTACTCGCTGTAGTACAGAGGGCAACACAGTTTAGGATAACTGCCGTTGAGCTAGCCTGGTTACTTACTTACTGTCTAGACCGAGCGATTCCCACACGTAGACAGTTGCGCAGAGTCGTGTTCAGGGTCAGAGACGAGGTAAGGAGAGCAGAGACAAGTGAGGAGATAGACAGGGGCAGGATTTTAGACTCGGCGGATGACTAGATGCCTCACGGCGAGATAGAGCACCCAGTTGAGCTTTGCCACTTCGACTATAGGGAACCCGAGTTCATTGAAGAAGATTGG